AATATTTTGACTGGCTTTGTAGGTCAAATGGCCTCTGTCATAACTACTCAACTCTGCTATTGTAGTGAAAAGGCAGTCTTAGACAATACATAAATAAATGGATGTGATTGTGTGACAGTGAAACTGTATTGACAAAAGCAGGTGGCAAGTGAGATTGGAGCCTGAGTTCATAGTTTGCTGACCTCCGCTCTTAAAGGAAGGAGCGCTTGGGTTATTAATGTCTGCATTTCATTTCTTCTATGGGACTGTGAGCTCTTTGAGGGCAAGGGCTCTATCTTGGTCACTTCTGCATCCCTTTGGAAACAGCAGATGCCCAGTTAAAAGTTTTTGAATTGACGTTCCCCCTGCCCACCATGGAGAACAACGCCAGTGGTGTGCATGTCTCCCAGTACCTGCTCCAAGAGGCATCCCAAAAGTGTTGCTGGGAGCCAGGCTGTGATACAGGACAAAAGAAGGTGAGAGGCCTCCATCCTCTTCCCTCCTTTTCTCCCCTACCCCAGTCACTCTAGAAAGTTCTCTGGGAAATTCTCTGGGCCGAATGAGTTAATATGAACAAACCTCCTAGGGCCGGTAAGAGGCAGAGCTGGCAGAGTCTTGACTTTGGGTCCACCATCCTTTGGAGCCTTCCACGATCAATGACTAGGCAGTGCTGGTGAAAATAGGTACATACTGGAATGGAAGGTTCTAGTGTCTGCCAACATATCTTCTTTCTTACAGTTCCTAATGATCCATTTGTGCTTTTTCAGCCCTTCATGTTAAGAGAACCTCAGGTTGGAGCCCATATCCTGACTGCCTCCTTCCCGCATGGGCACCTATGTGGCATTAGGCTCCCTGGATCTGAATGGGTGACCTGGGGTGTGCTGGCCTAGGGGATCACGAGCTAGTGGTCCAGCCCTGGCTCTGCTAACTGCCCTTGAGTGCCCTTGGCCATGGCCTCTTTTCTCTGGGGCTCCCCCAGCTGGCCAATGAGTTGGTGGCTTTCTCCTGTCAATGCCCTTGGAGTCTTGGCACACGAACTGGGCACCCTTACTTCCCTGGAACAGGTAACGAATCAAAAGTCCTTGAGGAGCAAAACAGTTTGTAGAGTTCTATCTGGGCAGCTAAGCAGATGGTTGCCCTGTGACAGAGGAAGTGCTTTGATGGAGATGTAGGCCAGCCATTGTATGAAGCCAGAAAGACCTGTGGGGGACAACTGCAAAGAATAAATGATGTTGGAGATGGAGTTTGAAGAGTGGCTGGCCCGGCAGGAGCAGGTGCCCTGAGGCAGGTAAGCCAAGCAGAGGATGGTGCCGCTGAGGAACTGCGGGATACTGGAGGGAACAGCACCTGTGTAAGCTGCATTTGCTGGGGTTTGGTGAGGGAGGAGATGAGGGAGGACAAGTGAAGTCACATCCAATAGTGTTTCAGTTCAGCAGAAGGTAGAGCTTTCTACCAGCAAGGGCTGTCTCATCCAGAAAGCTAGGAATCTTCCAGGGGCAATGGGCACCACAGCCCAGAGGGCTGGGGCCAGAGGCCTCAACCATTGCCGTCCTGTCTGGCGAGCCCTCCTCCTCGTGGATTCCAGTGCTTCCCTGTTTTGAAGCCACGGACCCCATGATGGAACAGTCAGTCACACACACAGACGGCGTGATGATGAGGCCTGGGAGCCCAACTCTGCCCTTGGCATGTCTCTCCTGGCCCCTTCCCCGACAGCTACTGGTCCCTCCACTCACCAGTTTTTATTAGGCCACGGTCCTCTTTCAGAAGCTGATGAAAGCCATGTGCCCTCTCATGCTCACACACACACCTACACACACACACACACACACACACACACACACACACACACAATCCAAAGGCTGCATTGAATTTATGGAGTTCACAGACTTCCCAAGTCCCCATCCGAATGTCAGGTTGGCACCCTCTCTCTGCTTCAACCCAGTCTCATGGGCTGTGCCTTTCCCCATTCCTGGGACCATTTTCTTTTGTTGCACTGTGACTCCAGGATTACAAGACAGGGAGGTTTCCTGAGCACCCACTATGCTGTGGGGACAGTGGTTGCCTCTGTCCTTAAGAACTCCTGGCCCGGTGGGGGCGGGAAAAAGCACAAATAGGAAACACAAAATTAGGCACAGGTCAGGAGCCCCAGGGCTGGGAATCCAGAGAAAATAGGTGGTTTCCAACTGGGAGGATTAGGTTCGGCTTTTTAGGGGAAGGGAGTGGGCCATTCTGGACCTGGGACACAGTGGGGGGAGGACACAGCATGCAGTCATGACAGCCTGAGCAGGGGATGCATGACAGGGTGTGAACAGGAAACCATGATTCCATTTGGCTACAACACAGCAGGTGTGAAGCCCAGTGGAAGGAGCTGGAAACGTGGGCTGGGAGATAATCGGGTCCCGCTTTAGTGTTTTTAGCAGAGGAGAGACAGGACACCCTGGGTGTACACATAGCAGCTGGATGGGAGGAGGGGCAAGAGTAAGCAGACAGATCAGGTCGGTTGTCCCAGGACACCTGACCTAGGAGCAGATGGGGTCAGGTGCTGAACTAGGTCAGTGTTGATAGGGAAGGGAAGGAAGAGGGACTGAATGAGATCATCCCAAAGGACACGCAGCACTTGGCAATAGGGCTTTTAGCTGTCTCCAGTCTGGGAGACAATTGCCTTCCCTTGGCCCCAATTCTCCAGATGGGATGTGACATGAGGGACAGGCACAGGCCTGGGTCCACACTCCAGGATGCCATCTTAGGGCAGTGTGCTGCAAAGCCATCAGCTTTCAGGAAAGAAATGGGGGGGGGGTGGCCCCCAGGCCCTGGGCCTGTGAGTAGGGCAAGTTCAGTCTTGCTGCGGCCAAGGGGAGGTTCTAGCTGGACTCAGTGACCTGTAGGAAGGCTCCTTCACTGGTCAGAAACCATCTGCAGGGCTTACGAAGAGAGTGCTGGCCCAAGCCCAGGGTCTCAGTTCAGTAGGTCCGGGGTGGGGCCTGATGGTTTTTAACAAGCTCTCAGGGGGTACTGAGATTGTGGTTTCCTGGTGGTTAGACTTTCTCCAAACGGGTGGGTCGAGATAGGTCTGGGTCAGGAATGCAGGGAAATACAAGGAGCGGTGGGGAAGGCGGTAGCTTGGCCAGCGGGGGGCTCAGGGTCTCTGTGCACAGCCTCATCGCTCGGATCTGAGCAGACACTGCTTCTGCAACTGTTCTGCCGTGAGCGCCACCTCGGCTAGGCTTGCTTGCAGCCCTATGTCGCTCTCATAGCACCCTGCACTTTTCTTTTTTGGAACCTGTAGCAGTTTTGAATAATATATTGGTCTGTGGGCTGCGTGTTTTATTCACCACTGCAGGGCAGGGCAGGGCAGGGCAGGGCCCAACGAATATGTGTGGTCTGAATGAGTGAACAGAGAGGGCAGAGAAGAGGTTCCATGAGGGACATCTTTGGTCTAGATGGCAGCTAGCATTTTCCTGAGCAAGTGGTTAGGTCGAAGCCGAGGGCAATTTGGCCCTTGGTGAACATCAGCAAGGTCTGCTGGCCTCACCCACTCCGGGCCCGACACCATCCTCCTACCAGCTTAGAGCTGCTCTGCAGCTTCATTCCAGCCTGAGTGGCCTCCTCCCTCCCTCTCACTCCCCACAGGAAATCAGGTGCTGAGCTCAGACTCCTTCCAGGCCATTTCTTGTAAGGCTTCATTTCTACCCCCGACGCTACTGCCCCCGCCCAACTCCATCATTGCATGGGCCTTTGTTGCCTCTTGTCTGAAGGCTCCACGTAAGAGCCATGATGGTTTCCTGGATTCTTGGCCCCCACTGCCTAGGAGATAAAAGTACATCCCCTTCAGCTTTGCACCATCAGTCTGGCTGGCTTCCCACCCCAAACCAGGCTGGCATGTCTGTCCTTCACTGAATCTAAGTCACCATTATATCTCATGGACCACTAAGAAACACAACGTGCTGCTAATTAAACTATGACATGCCACTGACTGTGACACTCTGACATCTTTAGCCTGAAATGCCAACTCCAACAGTAAGTTTGATTGCTTATCCATTCTTCAGGGTCCGACTCAAGGCATCATCTCCCCAACAGAAGCTGAATGTGTACCACCGCGTCTTAAGTGTGTGTATCATGTCCTGCCTGGCATTATAGCGGCTTGTGAACATATATTAAGTCCATGATTCTAAGTGCCTTAGGGGCAAAGGCTGTCTTATTTATGTTTCTATCCCCCTGTCCCATCAGCAGAGGGCAGCACAGTGTCTCCTCATTCAGAGGAATTATCCTCTGTGCTACGCCCTTTGGAAACAGGCCTGAAGGGCTCTGAGGGTGAGCTGCAGGCAAGCAGCCCCTTTTCCCTGGCCTACTATCACCCAGCCCAGTGTCCCACATTAGGAGAGGAGCTGAACAGATCAAACAGCGTGCCACTGGGCTGGATCACTGCCTTGCCTCTAAAAACAACAGAACTCTGTTGATAAATGTTTTGTGAAAACAGTGCAAGCCTGGTGTGGTGGCGCACATTTGCTCTCAGGAGGCTGAGGTGGGAGCACTGCTTGAGCCCAAGAGTTCAAGGCTGCAGTGCTCTATGACTGGGCCTGTGATTAGCCAGTGCACTCTGGGCTGGGCAACAGAGACACACTCAGACTGTCTCTACAACGACAACAACAAAAAACAATGCAGGCAGGCACAGCAATGTACCTGAAAGAGAATGTGGAAGCATGTAAGGAGTTGAACAAGCAACAGAGACTGAATTAGTCATTTCAGCTTTCAGCTTTTGCTCTAAGCTTACTGTTAGTATGAAATGTACATGTAAAGTCTCACCTGTGTGTTAACAACTTCTGCTTTTCTTCCAGGATATTTTGAAGATGCAGTATCTTGCACAAAGTCTAGAGGCTTCACTCTAGTATTGGTCTGCATCACAACTAACAAATGCGTTGTAGCTTCCTACAGCTTCCTTGATTATGTATAAGGACACTGGAATGAAATGTATAACCCAGAAGAGGGGGCAAGGGAGGGGGTATATAGAGAGACACAAAAAGACAGAGAGCCAATCAGTATAATATGAAGCTGCCTGCTTCAAGAAATCCAAATCCAATTCCATGAAGGAAGAAATATCTGTTTTTACTGCCTTTGTTGTCATGGAAGTAGTAGGGTGCGCTCTCTGCCTAGCAGGAGGAGTCACAGGCTCAGAGCAAACTCATTCGAAGGATGTTATTTCTTCACTCCACAGGGGAAGGAGTGACTGGCTGGGGAATGTGTCGAGAGAGCCCAGCCTCCAGTGTCCCTCACTTGACCCTCCGCAGGTGGCGAAAGCTCTGCACCGTCCTCTCCACAGCATCATCCATGGTCACTAGTGGCTGGTAGCCCATGGCCTTTTTGGCCCTCTCGCAGCTGTAGTAGTGGAATGTGCCAGCCAGTGCGACCCGCATGGGTGTGAAGGTGGGCTGCAGTTGGATGACAGGACTGACCACCATCACCAGCAGGGACAGCAGGAGGGCCAGGTAGTAGGCCACCCAGTACGGGATGTGATACTTGGGGGCCTCATAATTGAGGCCTGTCAGGATGCGAGACAGGAATGTCCAGAAAGGGATGGGCTCATCATTGGTGATGTGAAATGCCTGGCGGGAGAACAAGAACAAGAAGTTAGAAACACCACCCCCACCTGCCCAAAGTTGAGGCATCTATTAAGCCCATGCAGATTGCATCCTCACTGCCTAACTGCTGCAGCGTTCCATGTGGCCTGCCCTCAATTGCACAACTGCTAAGGCGTAGAAAGGGCAGATGATGAAAGTTTTATCTATGAGCCAGGATTTTAAGTGAAGCATAGATTGCACTTGGAAAGGCACATTTGTTAATTCGATAAGTGTTAATCATCATAAAACTCATCTACATATCTTTGGATGCAATGAATTGCTCATATTACATTTCTTGACGGAGTTGTGCTTGTTTTAAATCAAAAGCCACACCCGGGCCAGGCATGGTGGCTCACGCCTGTAATCCCAGCACTTTGGGAGGCAGAGGCGGGCAGATCAGCTGAGGTCAGGAGTTTGAGACCAGCCTGGCCAACATGGTGAAACCCCATCTGCACTAAAAGTACAAAAAGTTAGCTGAGCATGGTGGCACAGGCCTGTAGTCCCAGCTACTCAGGAGGCTCAGGCACGAGAATCGCTTGAATCAGTAAGGCGAAGGTTGCAGTGAGCTGAGATCGCGCCACTGCACTCCAACCTGGGTGATAGAGTGAGATTGTCTCAAAAAAAAAAAAAAAAAAAAAAAAAAGCCACACCCACCCTACTCCCAACTTCTTTGAAAGTTATCAGTGGGAAAACGGTAGAGGTTCAGGAGAATAAAAGAGGACCAAAGAGCAAGGGAGGGAGAGACCTGAGGAATGAGTGGGAGAAAGGGTGAGGAGCAAGCACCCTGCCCAATCTACATGGGCTCCTGCCACGAGGAGCCATGCCAACAGGTGGGCAGCCAGGTCAGGGAGCCACAGAGGACTGTGTCCTGAATGTCTGTACAATCCCAGCTCATCAGCTCCCCAGTTTTGGCTGCCCAAGTGATGTGATGCTGCAGTGACACCACATGCTCTATCAGAGGGGCTTGACCTTGGCACAGGGGGTCCTAATACAGATCCTCCACAATACAGGATCACAGGAGCAACTTGCCAGCAAATCCAGTGGCAAGGAGAAGAAACCCACAGAAAGGCACCCGTGCAGAGACGGGTGTGGCAGGCCTTACCTTCCCACCCAGTGTCAAGTCTCGGGAGAGTTGCTCTGCAGCCAGGATGTGTCCATGGACCACGTTCTCCACAAAGGTGAAGTCCACCAAGTTCTTCCCATTTCTGCAGGTGCACAAGGGATGATGGAATACGTACTGGGAGCCCCTGCACGAAGGCCAGGGCTGCTCCCAAGTCTCAGCATTTGAGAGACTGTGACCTGCAGAATGGCTGCCACCTCACTTGGCAAGGCCAGTCCAGGCACTCATGGATGTCTGTACTGGTTAAAGATGTACACTGGGCCAGGACTCCTGGGTCTTCAGGGTTAGTGGAATCTGAAAGCTGGGGGACCTGCCCACCCATTCCAGCATGGCCAACACTGGTGCTGTCTCTCCTGTCCCGATTTGGGTCGCAGTTTTTCAGCCCCTTCCCAGGAGACATGGGGCCAACGCCTTGCTCTGGTCTCCCATTTACTGACCAGTCTCCTTGTAATCCTTCAAGGTGACGAGTCAGGGTAGCAGTGAGGCTGAGTGAGAAACAGGAAGGCAAGGCAGAGGGAAAAAGGAGGAAAGAGAGGAGAGAAGGAGGAAATGAAGGAAGAGAAGGCCTACTCGGGAGAGAGCCACACTGTTGTCCCCTGTGGAGGCCCCTCCACCTACGCTTTCCCCAAGGAGAAATGTAATGCCCCCCCACCTGCCTTCCGAGATGCAAGGAGAGTCAAGCCCTGGCCCTTGACCCTGGGCCCATTGTTTCCCCTCTGAGCCTCGGTTTCTTCAATTTCCAGACAGGGTCACAAATACCTTCCCAGCCTACCTGAGAGGGTACATTGGATTGAACAGTATCCTCTCAAAGCTTCCGTCCACTTGGACCTTGTGAATGTGACCTTATTTGGAAATAAGGGCTCGGCAGATGCAATTAGTTAAGCTGAGCTCATACTGGAGTAGGGTGGGCTTTAAATCCAGGGAATGATGTCCTTATAAGAAGGAAATTTGGACACAGAAAGCAAGGAAGACAGCCATGTGAAAGGGAGGCAGAGGCAGGAGTGATGCCTCTCCAAGTACAGAATTCTAAGGATGGCCAGAAGCCAGCAGAAGCTAGGGCAGAGGCCTGGAACAGATGCTCCCTGTGAACCTCCAGAAGGCACTAGCCCTGCCAACATCTTAACTGTGGACTTCTGGCCTCCCAAACTGTGACAGAATCCATTTGTTGTTTTAAGCACTCACTTTGTGACAAGTTGTTATGGCAACTACAAGAAATGAATACAGAGGACAGAAGACAAGGTGACTGCTATGGCCTGAATCTTTGTATCCCCGCAATATTCATTCATATGTTGAAACTTCATCTCCAATGCAATGGTACTGTGAAGAGGGACCTTTAGGGGGTGATTAGGTCATGGGGGCTCTGCCCTCAGGAATGGGATTAGTGTTCCCATACAAGAGGCCCAAGGGAGCCTGTTTCCCCTCCCACCATGTGATGACATGGTGAAAAGGTGCCACTCATGAGGAACAGGGCCTCACCGGACACCCAATCTGGGAACGCCTTGATCTTGGACTTCCCAGCCTTCAACCTGTCTGTTGTTTGTTACCCAGTATTAGGTATTTTGTTACAGCAGCCTGCATGGACCAAGACAGTCACATAAGAAAAGAGCTACAATGCCACTTGGCTCCTGCCAAGTGCTCTCTGAACGCGAGCACGGACCAGGAAGGACTAGGGAAGAGCCGCTGTGGGCTGACTCACCCAATCACGAACTTCATCTTGCCGTTTCTGGCTGTCTCGATTAGGGTGGGTACCAACTGTGGGTCCCTTGGGCCGAAAATGCCATGAGGGCGGATGGCTGTGGTTAAGAAATTCTTCTCAGGATCGTTGGCGCCCAGGACTGCCTGAAGGAGAGTGGGAGGAGGAGCACATTCATTGCAAATTCCTAGGCTCAAGCCAAGAGAGTGCCTCACCGGGTGAGAAGCACCACTCGTGGGGGACAGACAGATGACACACTCTGCTGGCATGTGGCCACCGAGCAGTGGTCTGCCTTGCGCTGACCCCCTACATCAGTGGCTGGTATAATTCTGGGCTACCTCTCCACCCCACCCACCCTCACACCAAAATCTAAAAATGCAGGACAGACAGCCGGGCAAAAACCGGTAAGATCAAATCAGAAGGCCCCGGTTTGGGTTCAAAGGCTAAAATCCATCAACACTGCCAGAAGACATGCCTCGGCAGCAGTTTGTGGAAAAGATCTGAAGGTTCTGGCGAACAAGTTAGCCATGAGCCTCCAGTGCCTTGAACTGCACGTGCCGCCCACGTTTCCACCAGGCCAGGTCTGTTCCGGGCAATTCTGAGTACCACCTCCGAGGGGAGGGCTCTGAGAAACCCAAGTGGGCCCAGAAGAAGGTCAGAGAAGGTGAAGGGTCTGAAGACCATGCCTGGAGAGAAACAGGCCAGCAGCTGGGGGGCAAAGGAGGCCGAGACATGTAAAGTCCTCAGAGCAGTGCCTGGTCCAGAGCCAGTGCTCCTGTTGCCACTGTGAGGAAAGGGTGTCTTCTGTGTGACTTCATGGACAAACTAGAACTCAAGAGCCTAAAGTACAGAGAAATGGGTTTTGCCTCAAAAGTAACAAAACTTCCCGAAGGATTTGTTTTATTGCGGGTAAAAGTGGTGATCATAAAGGTACCTACCCTGATGGGGCTGCATGCGAATTACATAAGATGGCCTACGTCCGTTGTTTCAGTGCATGTCTGTATGCTTGGTAAGTATGGCTCCTGCTGTCATGTCACCTCAAATTTCTACTCTATGGTAGCAAAGTGCTGGTCTATGTTTTGGCCCCAGTGATCTTAAGCTACTCAACAATGGAAAAGCTGCCTCGTTTCAACAGATTCCCAGAGCTGGCCCTCCTCTTCCCGCCAGGCCTCTGGTCTCCACAGTGATGGAGGAAATGACTAAATAAGCCCTCAAATGGCCTCCACCAAGGCTCATCTCTACTACTAAAGGGAGGAGAGGTGGAGGAGTCCTAGCTCCCCATCACATTTGGTTTATGATCAGCAGGAAGGCTATAAAGCCAACAGTGGGTGTCAACCTTGGCTGAAAGGAGGCTCCAGGTGAGTTACTGCTAGAGTCATCTGAAGGCTTTGCTTATTTCCAGTTGAGAACCCCAAAGTTGATATAAGCGAGACACTGAAGGTCTGGGCCAAGGCCATCATTTGAAGCTCTTGAGCCTAGGTGGGCTCAGCTCTGGTGGCAGTCAGTATCCGGCATGTTGGGTTGAGAATGCACAGGGTCTCCATGGTGACTGAAACTGCCTGCAAGGCGCAGGGAGGCTTTAGTACTCCTCGGGCCAAGTTCGAGCACATGGGTGCTCCAAGGAGCGAGATAGCATAGTCTGGAGCCAGGACTGTGGCTTGCCAAAGGTCAAGCCTCCACCCCTGGTCTGGGTGGCCCTTGTGTCTCCCTGTGGACCAGTTCTGCCAGGACTTTCTGAGCTGAAGCAACAGCAAACAGGCTGGGCACAGTGGCTCATGCCTGTAATCCCAGCACTTTGAGAGGCCAAGGTGGGCAGATCATGAGGTCAGGAGTTCGAGACCATTTGACCAACATGGTGAAACCCTGTCTCTACTAAAAATACAAAAATTAGCTGAGCGTGGTGGCACATGCCTGTAATCCCGGCTCCTCGGGAGGCTGAGGCAGACGAATTGCTTGAACCTGGGAGGTGGAGGTTGCAGTGAGCCAAGATCATGCCACTGCACCCCAGCCTGGGCGACAGAGTGAGACTCCATCTCAAAAAATATATATATATATATACAGCAAACAGCAGGGAGGCAGCTGGCTCTCAGGTAGCCAGGTCAGTGTTCAGCTCCAGTTCAGTATGTACTGGCTTTGAAAGAAATCCTCAGTGGATGTGATACACTGCACACACACCTGGGAGGGGTATACTCACAGCTACCCAGTTAAGGTGAGCTATCCCAGTCTCTCTGTGCACCACAGTCCTCATCTGTAATCTGCAGCTTAGGATGGCCTCAGGGTGACAATCCCCATCTGTAGCTAGCAGTTGTCAGGGGCCCCACAGCCCCGGCAGCCTGAAGGCTTGGTAACGACTGCGGCTGAATCCAACCACACTAAAATCAGGTGCCCTTTGATGAAGCTGTTTTGCCAAGTGGAAAAGTACTTTTCCTTAAAATAAAGCAAGATCCTTCCGTTGTTTGTTTTTCTAAGTCAGGGAGGGGGCGAGAGTGCCACTAGGAAGGTGCCTCCAGCCTGATTCCTGTCTGCACACTTGCAACTGCTGTACATTCCCATAGCAAGGGAGGAAGCTCCCATGGCATTGAGGGTGGAGTGCAGGCTCTGGAGACAGACTGCCTGGAGTCAGCCACCTCCTAGCTGCACAGCTTTAGAAAGGTTCTGAGTCTCTCTGTGCACCACAGTCCTCATCTGTAATCTGGTGATGATGGGATAACTGTGACCTTTAAACAAGGAAAATACTCCTGGAAAACACTCAGAACACAGTGTTTTCTGTTCTCATAGTATTTTTTTTTTTTTTTTTTGGAGACAAGAGTCTCTCTCTCTATCCCCCAGGCTAGAGTGCAATGGCACAATTTCGGCTCACTGCAACCTCTGCCTCCCAGGTTCAAGCGATTCTCATACCTCAGCCTCCCACGTGGCTGGGATTACAGGCGCCTGCCACCATGCTGGGCTAATTTTTGTATTTTTAGTAGAGATGGGGTTTTGCCATGTTGGCCAGGCTGGTCTCGAACTCCTGACCTCAGGTGATCCGCCCACCTCAGCCTCTCAAAGTGCTGGGATTATAGGCTTGAGCCACGATGCCCGGCCTCTCACAGTATTTTTAAATTTAATTTCATCCATAAATTTTACATCTCAAGTCAGGTACGTAGGCCTCAGAATATGAACTTCATAAGTTCATAAACATTTTTCTTAGGATTCTAAACCCTTCAGTCTGCTCACTCAACCAGTTCCAAGGTACATACCTTCTCCTGTAAGATCTTAGTCTCTGTGTAGTAGTCAATGGGTTTCATGGCATAGGGAAGGTCTTCAGTTCCATTCTTGATATCGACGCCCTCAAAGATGACACTGGCACTGCTGGTTAAAATGAGTTTCTGACAGAGGAAGGTTAGAAAAAATAAAAGTCACAAATTATCATGATTCAAACAGTGCGATGATCCTGTATGAAAGAGAATCAAGGGGCATCCCTTCGCTGCCCTTGCATTCGAGGCACTGCAGAAATTATTTGCTGCAATGCCTTTGCTTTTCAGGCCTTCTTAAAATAATCCAAAGATCACCATCTTCTGCAGCTATGTGGATTCCAGACACACTATGGTATTACATTCTAACCAAGAATCAAGAGATCTTGGTTCCAAAACAAGGGATAACACATTTTTTTTCTATCCCATCACACCTGAGCGATAGAACAGACTTTCATTCATGGTACCTCACTATGACAGTGATTCTCTGTAAGTGAAGGGCAGCCCGCAAACTTCTAGGAAGATGTCTGCTTGAAAAAGATCACTGGCTATTCTGACAGTGACCTGGCCATGCGAACACACATAGGAATACACACACCACACGACCTCTTAAGAAATGCTATTCTAAAGGAAGATGCTCTCTTATGTGGGTCCCCAGCATCCAGCCTGCTGGTTAAGAACAGTTCATCCAACACCGGACACCATTAGCATGAATCATATCGTTCCCACTCTTATTCAACATTGTATGGGAAGCTCTAGCCAGAGTGGTAGAGTAAGATAAACAAAAATTTATAATGATTTGAAAAGAAACTGAACTTCCATCACTTGCAGATGACAGAAAAATCTACACAGAAAACAGGCAAATATGTAGAAAATATTAGAGTTCGGCAAAGTTGCTGAATTAAAAATCAATATACAAAAATTAACTAGTCTTATATATTAGCAGTAATTGGAAATGTAATATAAAGTTATTAAATAACAAAAAATGAAGTACATACAAATAAATTTAACGAGATATGCAAAATCTTTACAAAGTAAAGTATAAAACTCTATTGAAGACATTAAAGAGCAAGATAAACAGAAAAATATCCCATATTTATGGACAGCAACACTCGATATGGGAAAGATGTCAATTCTCTCCAAAATTACCTACAAGTTCAATGCAATTACAATAGCAGTCTCAGCTGGCTTTAGCAAGGAACTGGTTAAGCCAAATATATGTAGAAGAACAAAGGGCTCAGAATAGCCAAGTAAAGTTTGAAGAAATTGGTTGGGGGGGTGATTTATCTACCGTACACTGAGACTTATCCTAAAAAGGCAGAGCCTCTCTGCATGGGCAGACAGGGAGATCAATGGGGCAGAGGGGAGAGCCTGGGAACAGGCCCATGTAAGACACAAACACCTAAGACATGCTGCAGATGGTGTGCAGCAATGCAGAAAGACGGATTATGCAATAAATGGCACTGAACTGGTTATACACATGGAAAAAAGTTAGATCTCTATCTCACACCATATGCAAACATAAATTCCTGGTGGATTAAAGACTTAAATGTGGAAAGCAACACTTAAAACCTTTGAGAAAAAAGTACATTAAATAATCTTTTGATCTCAGTGTTGGGAAATGTTCCTTCAGTACAACACGGCAATCGCTTTCTGCACTCTTACATACTAAGCCGCTCTGCCCCTTCAGTAAATGAACCAGTTACATACGCCAAGATGAATAAAGAAAAACATAACATTGGAGAAAAAAGCAAGTTGCAGGAGGATCTGTTCAATAAGATATCATTTTATAAAATCTTATAACATGCAATCCAATACCTTATATTGGTTACACATGGAGCAAATGGAAATAAATCCAAATTCAGAATTGCTACCCATGGCTAAAAGAGGAGAGCAATGGCAACGAGGATGGGCACACATTACACACACCAGTAATGTTGTTACTTAAATACTGTGGTGAGTGGAGAGGTGCTGTTTTATTCTCAAATCCTGTTTATTTTATTTATTTATTTTTAAGAGACAAGGTCTTGCTCTGTTGCCTAGGCTGGGGTGTAGTGTTGGGATCATAGCTCACTGCAGCCTGAAAATCCTGGGCTCAAGTGATCCTCCTGCCTCAGCGTCCCGAAACAGTTGAGGCTACAGGTGCATACCACCACACCTGGCTTTTAAAATTTTTTGGAGAGGTGGGGCATTGCTATGTTGCTCAGGCTGGTCTTGAACTCCTGCGCTCAAGTGATCTTCCTGCCTTGGCCTCCCAAAGCGCTGAGATTACATGTGTGAGCTGCCACACCTGGGGCGCAAATCTTTTTGTATGCCAGGAACCTTCCATTTAACAAAGAGCAGCAGGGCCCCTCCCAGGGCTCCAGTTACATGAGCATGACAGAGTGCAGAGTCTGGGACTTGGAGAATCCGCTTTGGCCCCACCTCTCCCATTTACTGGCAAAGAGACATCGTTTAGCCCCTGGTCACCTACGGAGGAGCTAATTAGGTGATAACTGCAGCAGGGCAAAGCATCTTGTCAACTGCTAGGGGTCAGTTATAACTGATCTTTTCCAGGGTTCAAGCCCAGAAGAGCTCCAACCCTGCTGGGCTGGTTGAGGATGCTGGGGATGCTGGGGACCAGCCAACAGTGCCAGGAGAGGTTGCTGGGAGAGGAACCCCCTGGCTTGCTTCAATCTTTTCTCTTAATTTATGCAGTACCTGTGGCATGCGTCCCTGTGAGGGACAGGATGCTGAGCTGACAGGGAACTCTTTTAGCCAGTGGCTGGAGTCCTATAAAGACAATTCTAAGAACCAGGATTGGTAACAATGCAGCAAGCTTCAATGGGTAGAAATTTGTATCCCCTCAGGCCTGAGTTATAACAGATTTCATTGGCTAAGGGTAAACACAGTTTGCTTTTCTTTTAAAATATAAGTAAGGTCTGGAAAACAATGTGGTGGTTCCTCAAAAGGTTAAACATAGAACTAGTATATGATCTAGCAACCCTACTTCTGGGTATATGCTCAAAAGAATTGAAAACAGGGACTTGAACAGATATTTGTACACTTGTGATCACAGCACTAATGTTTACAATCGCCAAAAGGTGAAGACAACACAGACGTCCATTGATGGCTGAATGAATAAACAAAATGTGGTCCATCCATACAATGAAATATTATTCTGCCTTAAAAAGGAAGGACATTCCAACACATGCTACAACATGGATGACCCCTGAGGACATCATGCTCGGTGAAATAAGCCAGACACAAAAGGACAAATACTATGAGTCCACTTCTGTGAGGTCCCTATAGTTGTCAAACCCACAGAGACAGAAAGTAGAAGGGTGGTTGCCAGGGGCTGGGTGGGGAAGGGAGATTGGGGAGTTGCTGTTTAATGGGTATAGAGTTTTTATTAGGGAAGAACAAAAAGGTTTAGAGATGGATGGTGGTAATGGCTGTACAACATTGTGAGTATGCTTAATGCCATTGGACTCTGCACTTAAAAATGGTTAGGATGGTAAATTGCATGTGATATATATTTTATCACAATAAAAATATAAGCAATGTCTAAGTTCTGCAGCTCTTTAACTGAAGGCTAATAGCCTTGAGGTCCTCAGATGTTCTATTTGTGTGCAGTTAGAATATTACATCTCAAATCGGCCTTGGCAAGCAGACCTTCATGACCCCCAGTGACTCCAAGGTAATTTCTAAGATCTTCCCAACACTTGAAGAAGCAACCCAGCCTAGGCCCAGGGAGACTGCAATAACTACGACCTTACACCCTTAGAAAGGGCTATCACATGCTCCTGACAGCACTCACTCGTTTTCCCCTTACCTGAACCCCAGCCTCTTTGCAAGTTTCAATGACATTCTTGGTGCCAAAGTAATTCACTCTATAAAAGAGTTCCTTGTTGTTACTGGATGCTGGGGGTGATGCACAGTGGAAAACTGTGTTTACACCTTTCAGAGCTGGGTACAGATCCTGGAAAAGCAAACAAAGACAAAATAATCATTCCTGCTTGGACAGATCAATGGCATTCCCACGTTTTCACTCTCCAACCTGTGGCTTGTAGGTTCCTTGTCTCATAATTCTATAATCAATATGGAAATACATTCTCATAAAAGAATCAATGATACTGAAGTACATGGGATGGAAACCAAGTTGTCCCTTTAATCACCTTCTCCCTACTAACTAGACCCCAATCAAAAGGGGTTTGGGGCATGAGAAGCCTGTGGGATCCACACAGAGGCAACACCCTTTTGGGTGGTTCAGGGCAGGCACCTAGTGGGTAAAACTCCCCAGGAAGGTGAACTCAGATAGAAATTATGAATCATATGAAAAAGTTCCACACCATTAAAGACAGTAAATAGCCAATAAACAGGCATATTCCTTCCTGTGACACTAGACACGATACGGCAACCTGAAAGGGATTTTTAAAACAGGTCTGTTTGATTTACTGCTAAAAGGAACAAGAGCTCCTGAGAGAAATGGCTGATTGCAGATCTGGGACAGGAAATACACAAGATGAACCAGGCACACCTTGTGCCAGAGAGTGAGGACGCCAGCTAGCTAATACTACTGGGGTCATGTTCAAAGCACTCAAGTGCCAACCTGAAGAGGTTCCCACTGGGCAAAAAATGGACAGCTTGACCACAAGTAAGAATAAAAATTCTTTCTGAAACTGGTAAATAAAGGGAAAGAACCAAATATTTATTCTGCATAAGGTATAAAGATTAGAGCTACTAAATGAAGACTAATAGCATGTCACCATTTTGTCAAACCTTAATTAATAGGATCTAAGTATGATTCATGCTTGTCACCAAAAGACAATTATGACATGTGCCAATTAATATTTTGCCACAATTCCCTCTCTCTACATACACACAATCATATATTTTTCTTGAAATGAGTCAAGTAAGTTGCAGGCATCATGCTGCCTCTAAACGCTTCACCAGGTGTCTCCGAAGAACAAAAGCATTCTCCTAAATAACCATAAAACAATGATCACACTCAAGAAACTTAACATGATATGATATTCTTATCCAATAATTAGTCTGTATTCAAATTCCCCCAATTGTCCCAACAATCTCTTTTATAGCCTTTTGGGGTCCAGGATCCAATTGTGCATGACATGTAGTATTTAGTCCTCATGTCTCTTCCATCTCTTTTAATCTGAAACAAATTCCCATCTTTTCTGTCTTATTTTAATGCTGCCATTTTTCAAGGGTTCGGGTTGGTTATTTTATAGACTGTCCTTCAGTTTGGATTAGTCTGTTTCCTCAAGATTAGATTCAGGTTTAATGGTTTTGGTAAGAATACCACATCAGAGGTGGTGTGTCCTTCTCAGGGAATTACCTCAGGAGGTGGAAGTTTGTCCCACTCTTGGTGATATTAAGTTGGAGCATGTGGTGATGACGATGGCTGACAGATTCCAGCCATCGAAAAGGTACCTTTTCCCTTGCATTGATAAGTAATCTGCAGCATGTTAATTCTACCAATTAACCTCATTATTTATTGATAGTCTCTGCCTGGAACAATAATCAATATACTGAGTATAAAATGGTGACATTCTGGCCGGGCGCGGTGGCTCAAGCCTGTAATCCCAGCACTTTGGGAGGCCGAGACGGGCGGATCACGAGGTCAGGAGATCGAGACCATCCTGGCTAACACGGTGAAACCCCGTCTCTACTAAAAAAAATACAAAAAAAAAAAAAACAAAAAAAAAAACTAGCCGGGCATGGTGGTGGGTGCCTGTAGTCCCAGCTACTCAGGAGGCTGAGGCAGGAGAATGGCGTAAACCCGGGAGGCGGAGCTTGCAGTGAGCTGAGATCTTGCCACTGCACTCCAGCCTGGGGGACAGAGTGAGACTCAGTCTCAAAAAAAAAAAAAAAAAAAAAAAAAAAGGTGACATTCTAAGTCTAGCTGTCCAGACTTTTAATTCATGGCCTTTATAGTTATTAGTTGGCATTCCTCTGTAGAGCTTCCCCTTCTCCCTGATCCCAATTGTTCTTTTCAGTATTTCTATAGACCCACGGATTCTTTTTTATTTAATTTTTTTTGAGACATTGTCTTGCTCTGTCGGCAAGACTGGAGTGCACTGGCACGACCTAGGCTCACTGCAACCTCCGCCTCCCAGGCTCAAGCAATTCTCCTGCCTCAGTCTCACAAGTAGGTGGGATTACAGGCGTATGCCACCACGCCCGGTTTTTTTGTATTTTAGTAGAGATGGGGTTTCACCGTGTTGGCCAGGCTGGTCTCGAACTTCTGACCTCAGGTGATCTGCCCGCCTCGGCCTCCCAAAGTGCTGGGATTGCAGGCGTGAGCCCTGCACCCGGCCCATGGATTCTTTTTGAAATCAAAATGCATTGTCATCCACTACTGTTATGTTTTGTGAGGCTCAAACGCTCAAAATGTCCCAAATTTGGCCAGTGGAAGCCCTTCAAGTTGGCACTTATATCTTCTTGACATGCCCTCATTCATTTTGTGCTAAGAAAATGTCCCAGACTCATTTTGTACTGCCCTTGCCCTAGGGTCCTAGAATGAGAAATTTTCCCAAGAAGCCCTAGTTCCTTTTATGGGAAGTGGTATACAGAAACCCAAATCTGAGCACCAGGCATGCTTATTACTATTGGAGTATCAGAAGTAATAATACCCCAGAGGGAAAAACTGAACCAGAGTCCGATCAAATCTTTAGCCCAGTAGAAACATAATAAAAGTCACAGTGACTTTAAAGTTTGGAGTAAGTAAAAAGAAAAAGGTGAAATTAACTTTAATGAGATAGTTACATTCCTTTTTTCTGTACATGGTTTTTGAAATCTGGTGTGGACTTTACACTTACAGTGCCTCTCAATTCTGACTCGCCACATTTTAAGTGCCCAGCAGTTGCATGTGGCTAATGGCTGCCTTAATGGACAGCGCCATCCCAGATCTACCAGTATACAGAAAATACTGGAGGACAGAAGGGCATGTTAAATGCAATGGGGATGTAATCAGCAAAACCCAGACTGTGGGAAATACTACAGCACCATAAACATGGTTTCTACTAAACATCAGTTATTCAATAAATAGACTGAAGTTTAAAAAGATGAAGGGAATTGTAAATTAAAAGAGAGCTATATATTTCAATCAAATCCATAGTACTGACCTTGCTTGGTTCCTTATTTGGAAAAACAATAATATAAAAACATTTATAAGACATTCAGGGATATCTGAATACTGGCTAGATACTAAGGAACTACTGTCAATGTTTTAAAAAATAATCCTTATCTTTTAGGGACAAATACTGAAATATTTACAGATAAAATGATATGATGTCTAGGATTGACTTCAACATCATCTGAGGGGGAATACAGGTGAAACATGATTGGCCATGAGCAGATGAGGAGAGGAGGAAATCTCCAATGAAATAATACAAAAAGAGAAAGAGAAGGAATGCAAGAAAGAGAGGATAAGAGACAGATAATACAATGAAAGACCACCATATGTCCAGCACGGCTTCCAGAAAGAGAGAAAAGAGAGAAGAGGGGTACAGTTAATCTTTGAAGAATTTTCCAGAAATGAGGAAAGACATTCATCTTCAGACTGCAAAGGCCTACCAGGTGTTGAGTAAGATCTGAAATCAAAACTAAAACTCAGGCCCTGATATATTCTCTATAGACAATAAATGATAAAAAATAAAATCCTAAAAGCCATGAGAGGGAAAGCCAGACAACCTACAAAGGAACAACGACCAGCTTGAGAGTAGACTTCCTGTCAGCAACAGAAGATGCACAAGACTGGGGTGACTTTAAAAAGTGTTACGAGCCGGGCATGGTGGCAATGGTGGCTCACGCCTGTAATCCCAGCACTTTGGGAGGCCAAGGCGGGCAGATCACCTGATATGAGGAGTTCAAGACCAGCCTGGCCAACATGGTGAAACCCTGTCTCTACTAAGAATATAAAAATTAGCCGTGAGTGGTGGCGGGGGCCTGTAATCTCAGCTATTTGGGAGGCTGAGGCAGAATTTCTTGAACCCAGGAGGCAGAGTTTGCAGTGAGCCAAGATTGAGCCACTGCACTCTAGCCTGGGCGACAGAGCGAGACTCCGTCTCAAAAAAAAAAAAAAAAAAAAAAAAAAGGGGTTATGTAATACATACTGTGTATATAAAACTATACAACTATATATACATAAACTTCATCTATATGTACGTACATCTGTCTCTCTCCACTGACTATAAAAACACATTTTTTTAAAAAAAGAAATGGGGGTCTTGTTATGTTGTCCAGGCTAGTCTTGAACTCCTGGCCTCAAGTGATCCTCCCACCTTGGCCTTCCAAATAGCTGGGGGACTACAAGTGCATACCACCACACCCAGGTGAAAGTACATTTTAAAAGTCCTTCCCAGCTGGGCGCAGTGGCTCATGCCTGTAATCCCAGCACTTTGGGAGGCCCAGGCGGGTGGATCACCTGATATCAGGAGTTCAAGACCAGCCTGGCCAACATGGAGAAACCCTGTCTTTACTAAAAATACAAAAATTAGCTGGGCGTAGTGTTGGGCACCTGTAATCCCAGCTATTAAGGAGGCTGAGGCAGGAGAATCGCTTGAACCTGGGAGGCGGAGGTTACAGTGAGCTTAAATTGTGCCGCAGTCTGGGTAACAGAGCAAGACTCTGTCTAAAAAAATAAAAATAAAATAAAATAAGTCCTTTCCTCCCATGTCTTTCACCCGCATCACATCCACCTTGGACTTAGCTTAGATTTCATGCTCCACCTGTACCACCTTTGCCTCGTTCCCCTCTCCCTTTATTAAATTTGTCTAGCAAGCTCCAACCCTGGTTAAATGCAACTTGCCCCTTCTCCATGCTGGCAGTTGAGCAGCTGAGTGTAGCTGGAGAACAACATGGCATGCTGGAGGGTCTCCCTTGAAATGTGTACGCAAGGAAAGCTGGAAATAATATACTAGCAACAAGAGCATGGCAGCTGGGGAGCCTTTTGGAGAGAAGTTAAAGCTTGCTAAGGATTCTCATCTCCTTTGAGGGGACAAAGCAGTGATCAAAAAACAAAATTCCTGCTTTCATGGAGCTTACATTCTATGGTAGAGAGGACACATTTCAGAGATCTCCTCTGCTCTGTATCCGCTCATGGTCAATCATGTTTTCATCAGGACAAATAAGCAAATAAACAAGTAAATCTAGAGGATGTCCGTACTGGCAGGTGTTATGCAGAAACTAGAGTACAGTAAGGGAGACCAGCGGGGGCTTGTTCCTTAGCACAGGGTGGTTGGAGATTTACAGGAAGTTAGGGAGCAAGTTCTGTGGTTCAGGAAGCACATTCCTGACAGAAAGGACACCAAGTGCAAAGGTCCTGAGGCAGAAACTTGGCTGGTGGCCAGTGTGCCTGGGGCAGAGCATGAGGCGGGTGTGGGAGAAAGTGGGCCGGACAGGTAGTAGGGATGTGCGGTGCAGGGCCTCATGGGTGATTACAGAGGCCTTTGTTTGCTCGACACAGGACTGGACGCCACTGGAGGCTTTTGTACAGAGGGTGGTGTGATCTGATTTATCCATTAAGAGTCCCTCTAACATCTAGGTGAGAGAGTGATGGTGGCTTGCACCAGGGTGGCAGCAACGGAAGGGGTGAGAAGTTGCTGGATTGGGGATCTATGCTGAGTGGAGTCAACAAGATTTCCTGATGGATGGGATGAAGGGCATGAGAGAGAAAGGAATCAGGCAGGGATGAATCTAAGCTTTTTGGTTGATGGAACTAGAAAAGCAGAGTAGGCCATTTATGGAGATGGAGAAGACTTAGCAGAAGTAGTTTTGCTGTGGTAGGGGAGAGGCTTGCATCAGGCAACCAGGAGCTTAATTTTGGATGTAGCAAGCTTGAAGTGTCCATGAGGTATCCAAGCAGGGATGTCCAGCAGGCAGCTAGAGAAATACACACACACACACACACATATACACACACATATATACATATATACACATACATATATACATATATATACATATATACACACACATATACACACATATATACACATACATATATACACACATATGTATACATATACACACACATATACACACATATACACATATATACACATACATATATACATATATACACATATATACACACACATATACATACACACATACACACACACCTGAGAGAGCTAGGGGTTGGAGATAACAAGCAGGGAGCCCATCAGCTTCTAGACAGTAATTAATCCATGAGATGGGATGGAGTCACTGGGACACCGTCTAAACTTGGAGAAGAAAAGAGAGTAAGTCCTGGAGCCTGCAAAGTTTAGAAATGACAGTGATCAGCAGACAATCAGTGAGGCAGGAGGAGAAATGAGTGAGGTGGCGTCTTAGAAGGCAAGCAAAGAAAGCATCAGATGCTGCTAAAGGGTCAAGTCAGAGGAGGTCTGAGATTCAACTACCGGATACAGCTGCCTCAAGGTCCCTGGAGGCAGTGACTGGGTAGGGAAGAGGAGGTGGCTTCTGGCTGGCACCAGGATGGGTGTTTTGGTGGGGATGAGGCATCTTCGGGAACAGCAGGGGAGGCTGAGTGGAGACATGGATGTGGGCAGGTTTGTGAAGATGGTGGTGCTCGGTGGTACCAAGGGTCTGCTTGAGGCCCATGGCCATGCACAAGGCAAGATTTAACCAGGGTGGGGGTTACAATGTGAAGTACACTGTGGTGGCCGCATTTATTTGCCACCTGGGCCAGGCTCTAGTCCCCGGTGACTCCATTAAACACGAGTGTAGGTGTTTCTATAGAGGTATTTTGTAGCTGTGGTTGACATCTACAACCAGCTGACTTTAATTAAGGAGATTACCCTTGATACTCTGGACAGGCAGTATACACTCAGTTCAAAGACCTTAAAAGTGAAACTGAGGTTTCTGTAAGAAGAAACTCTAGTGTGGGACCACAGCGTTAATTCCTGCCTGACTTTCGGGTCTGCCCTACAAATTTCAGACTTGCCCAGTCAGCCCCCACAATCATGTAAACCAATTCCGTGAATTAAATCTCAATCTCGCTTTCTCCCTCACCCACCCATCTCTCTCCCTGCCCTTCTCCACACACCCCCCTGCTGGTTGTTTCTCTGGAGAAACTTTATGGATACATACAACCAAAAGAGAAAGGGGAAGAGGGTGAAGACTATGCAAGTGAACAAGTGGACCAGGGAACTAAAGGCAGTGAGGCACGAATAGGCTGAGCCATAGTAGGCATGGCTGGATGTCTGCGTGGGGTTAAGGAATCGGGACAGCTGAGGCACTAGAGGGCATGAGCTTGACAGAGAGGAGCTGGAGTAGAACGACAGAGTAGAATGCCTGCAACTGAGATGAAGGAGAGGACATGCTTACTGGTGATTACAGGGGAGTGGAGGGCAACATCACTGGGTGAGAGGAGGCCAAGGATGGGGGAGGCGAGGGCACTGGTAGGGTCATCTACACGAACACTGAATTCACCAATAATAATGCCAAAAAGGAACTGAAACCACTGAGAAATGAAGTGGAGTCACGGGAAGGGGAGCAGGTGGCTGTGGGTGGCCACCATAAGGAAGGAAGGGTGTCGGGGTTTGCATAGTCTGAGGGTATCCTCTTCAAAGCTGGAGAGGCTTAGAGCAGCATGAGGGAGAATGGTTCGGAGGCAGCAATGATGAGCATGGAAGATATCTACCCCATCTCCAGGCCTGGAGGTATGAGCAGCATGGGAGAGAAAACAACCATAACTTTGCAGTGGAAGCAATGGCCTTAATATTTCATCAACAAAAACCATATGGCGAATGACACCAAATCCAAGAATAAGGACCCAGTGACAGGCTGAGGGAAGCCATCCATAATAAGTACAATGGGCACAGGATTGGCATCCCCACTAGATCAACAGGGATGAAAAGGTAACCCCAAAGACAAAGGGGCAAATGACACAGACAAACATTTCACACAGGAGGAAGCCTGAAAGCCGATCACCCAGTGGCAGAGCGGCTGGTTACTTGGTCAGGGAGGACATGTGACTCTGAACATCAGTGAAGCACCACTTCATACTTCTCAGAATGGCAACACCAAAAAGTCAGTTATGCCCAGTGTTGGCAAGGATGTGGAGCAATGGGGCTTCTGCCACCCTGTGGATGTGGAGGTAAAATTGACATAGCAGCTTTGTTGAGCCATTTGGCACCATCTAATAAAATTCAAGATATTCATACCTGTACAACATGGATGAAGCTTGAAAACATTATGCAAAGTGAAAAAAGTTACGCATAAAAGTACAAATATCACATGATTCCGTTTATATGAAATGTCCAGAAGAGGCCAATCCATAGAGATGGGAAGCAGATGAGTGGCTGCCAGGGGTTGGGAGGGTAAGAGAGGGAATGGCTACAAGATTTCATTTTGGGGTAATAAAAATATTCTGGAGTTAGATCGTGGGAGACGGTTGCACAGCTTTGTGGATGTACTAAAAATCACTGAATTGCATACTTTTAAAATGTGAAATTTGTGGTACATGAATTATATCTCAATTAAAAGAATCAAGACCCTGTGGCCCAGCACTCACACTTGTTTTGCAGTTGGAACAATACAACCCATGGATGGCTTTTGAAGTCAAGTTTCCGTGGCACACAGCCACATCTATTTGTTCACTTAAGTGCTGACCATAGCTGCTTTTGTGCTACCAGGAGAGAGCTGAGTAGCTGTGATAGAGATGATGGTTATTCATTCTAAGTAGTAAGAATGTGGTGTACTTTCCTATAACTTTGAAAATGTTCACAATGAAACAACTGTTTTTCAAACAAATTGGCTGGCCTCTGAGCAAGGGAAGTATCGTGGTTTCCCTTCGTGGGCTTGTGGGAAATCAGCAAGGCTGCATGGTCCAGTACCTGCCGGCTGCAGAGGTCACCCAGAAAGAATTGCACCTGGGGATTATCAAACCCTTGCTGGATATCAAATACATTGACAGCATATCCTCTTGCCAGCAACTGCTCCACCATGTGCTGCCCCAGGAATCCAGAGCCCCCGATCACTGTGCATTTCTTGGCCTGTTGAAAGAGAGGAAAGGTGGGGAAGACCAGCGTAGTGAGAACTGGAAGCTATACAGAGTCCAGACTTACATATCATGAGCCACTGCAATGGCAGATATACTTGTTTGTTTGGACTCTTCCTGAGCCAACATGGAAGCTTTATATCATCCTGGTGTTCCATCACTAGTGGAACCTTCTCTCCTGGGATCAGTAAGGAGGGAAGAGAGACAGCAAATGACACTGAGATTGACTTTGGTTGGGTTTGATGACAAGATCCATGCTTTGTATTTAGTGAAAGGAAATCAAACCACCTATGACCAAAACTGGACAATCTAAAAAATACCAAAGAAAAAAGAAACCCCCCCCAAAAACAGTGATACCTTCTTGTTCCCGATAGCTGATGCCTGGGCGCTTCTCTAAGGACAAAAACAAAACAAAACAAAAAGGCAGCCATTTGGCAGCAGATAGCTTGCACTGAAAACATCAGAAAGAAGAAAGCAGTCTCCATTCTCACAGGACAAAGTCAGTCCCTTTTCCTCTTTGGCCACAACAGGGCTGGGCTGTGTGACTCTGGGCTCATTGCCCAACCCCTTCTTGCCTCAGCCTAGAAATCTAAGACCGCCTTGATGGGATCTCCTGGTGGGGCTGCAGTGAGGATGGATGAGCCCAGGGCTCTGCTTTCCCTCCTCCGAACTGCAAGGAAGTTGAAGAAATGGGGAGAGCCGTGGTGTTTATGTCTCAGCCTCCACAACATGCACGATTCCTTGGGTAATTCCAACTCTGGTGACTGGGCATAATGAAAGGACAGAGTAGCACATGCAGGCACTTAAATACCCTCACTCCAGGATGTCAATGCCAAACTATGGCTGCTGCACACCAGACAAGCTGGCTACGGGTGTCTGTAAGGAGGACCTGTGATATCCCTCCTCCCTAGGGTCTTTCTAAAACTGTATCTGGGCCTCCTTAAGATGACAACCTCTGATTTCCTTAGCTCATATACAGTAAATCCAACTTGGGTTTGTAGAAATGAAAGATCTTAAAGAAATTATGTTCTAGATTTAAAAAACAAACAAATCTCCTTACTTATTTCTTAAACATCAACACAACTGAGCTATGACAGAGACTCAAGGGATGCCAGGGCCAGACATCCTCTCCAGATCCACCTCTCTCCCAGTTGGGGTGTCTCATCTGAAATGGCACTCATACCGGATTCCACCAGGCCCACCTGGAGCTGGCACTGTACTTTACCTCCATTTGTCCATGTGCAATCTACTAACAAAATCGGCCTCACCATTCTTCTACCACCCAAAACTAACTTCCCAACCTGTTTTTTTCTAGGTTTTATTCTGATTATTCCTAAACACATGTAATCATACCAGGTTACATGAGTTGCACCTTGACTGAGATGTATATTTCCTCAAGTCATAGGCAAATTAAATACAAAACTCACATCAATCCCTTTTCTAACAATCCCTTTCTTCTTCCCTCCTTGCAAGTCAGCTGTACAGGCAAACTGTAGCTATTTAGAATAATTCTGAGCTGCCTGTTTCCCAACCTGGGTTTCTGCAGTTTACTAAAAGTCTGGCTGAGCCCAGAGACAGTCGGAAGCATCCTGAAGGATTTCAGACTGCCTTGTTTATTTCATTTGGCATCTCTAGTTACAGGTGTTTCAAAAGGTTGCTAATCTTTTCAAAAACAAATAACCTTGCTGTTATGTCCAGTGCGATTTCATTTCACGATTTTAATTGTGACTAATCACTATGCTACTCTTGGACAATGTGACGTGGATTATTTTATGATATTGAAATGTTCTATCAATAACGTTTGGGATGAGTGGGCTAATGGCTGTTCTGTGGAGACCCTTGTAGTGATGGGAATCAAACCGGCCTTTACCCCAGGGAAGTCAAATGTGTGATGGGCTGATGTCTTTAATCACACCTGTAATGCTATGTGATTAGAGGAGATCACATGAAACTTTTCATGACCAGTTTTTACTTCTCACTGCCACAGTGGACAAGAATGAACATGTACTAACAATTAAGTGTAAGACTCAAGCCTGGAAACAGCAAGACTCCATAATGGGTTACTGAGGTGAGTTATAAGATCAACCTCTTGGAGACAGTGTTAAGAATAGGGGCTGAGCACAGTGGCTCATGCCTGTAATCCCAATACTTTGGGAGGCCGAGGTAGGTGGATCACCTGAGGTCAGGGGTTTGAGACCAGCCTGGCCAACATGGTGAAACCCCGTCTCTACTGAAAATACAAAAAATTAGCCAGGTGTGGTGGTAGGCGCCTATAGTCCCAGATACTCAGGACGCTGAGGAGGGAGAATTGCTTGAACCCGGGAGGCAGAGGCTGCAGTGAGCTGAGATCACGCTACTGCACTCCAGCCTGGGCAACAGAGCCAGACTCCATCTCAAAAAAAAAAAAAAAAAAAAAAAAAAAAAAAAAAAAAGAAAAAGAAAAAAAAAGAAACAAAACCATTTAGGCAAACTAATCTAATTGCAATAGAATCTTGAGATAACAGAATAGTCTAGGGCATTGGGTTTTTCCAACTCTTCTTGTTTTGCTTTGTTGTCAGCAGTGGGACCGTTTTCTCAGAGAGGTCTTATGCAGAATGTATACGTAAGTTAAGACAAATGTGTTCTTTTTATTTTAGTAGTTTAAATTTAGAACTTTTACTTCTTATAAAATCAGTCCACCAATGAGAGAAAAAAAATGTTATTTCGAAGGACACAAAAATTTGAAACTAGCTGAAAATGGCAGTTTGCTATAACCATTGGAATCCACATTTGCTTGCTGGCTGCCAAGTAGTAATAAAACCCACATAAATGAGGAACTGCAGATGGCAAGTGGCTTCAACCACAGAGGCCCAGAGGAGGCTTCACTCTGAGTTCTACACCAAAAACAGGTGATTTGATGGCCAATGATAACCTCTTAGGGATCTTGAACCTATTAACATTTGATATAAACACATTTTGTCTTGGTGTAATTACTTTGTTTTTTTTGTTTTTGTTTTTTTTTTTTTGAGACAGAGTCTCACTCTGTCACCCAGGCTGGAGTGCAATGGTGTGATCTTGGCTCACTGCAACCTCCACCTCCCGGTTCAAGCGATTCTCCTGTCTGTCTCCTAAGTAGCTGGGATTACAGGTGTCTGAAACCATATCTGGCTAATTTTTTGTATTTTTAGTAGAGATGGGGTTTCACCATGTTGGCCTGGCTGGTCTCAAATTCCTGACCTCCGGTGATCCACCTGTCTCGGCCTCCCAAAGTGTTGGGATTACAGGTGTGAGACACCGTGCCCAGCCACATTTTTGAAGTGCAACACTGATTAAGAATCAATCAAAGCAAACCTTTGCAGACTTATGGGAAGAATCTCCAGGAAGCCTGACAACGACCAGGCTCAACAATTCCTTCAAGTCCTCTCTGAGACTTGGGACACTAAATCTTAGGCCTAAGAAATACTGCTGTCGCCCCCCAGGAGAGCTGCTGCCATTCCACTAGGAAGCCCAGCCTGGTCTACTGGAGGCCAGTAAGGTGCCCAGTTGACAGCCACCAGTTACTACCAGAGGTGTGAGCAAGGCTGCCTGGGAACAACATATGCTTCAAGGGGTCCCCATGTGACTGCAACTACATGCAAGAGCCCATGGGAGACCACGCAAGAACACTCCAGGGGGCCTCAGCCCAAACCACAGTCATAAGCAAAGAAATGGTTGTTCTTTTAAACCATTGTGCTCTGATATTGTTACACAGCAATAAGTAACTGACACATCTTAAATAAAGCTATATACCTTATATTTAAAAATACCCAACATTGATTAATACATGTACAAATACAATTTTTCACCCACAGGTAAACAGTATCAGCCTGTTGGCATGTACAAGTCAACTTTCTCCTTACCTGATTCTGGTTAACCTTTTCTATGTCAGCACTCGCTTTGGGAGTGTCCTCTGTCAAATGAGTCCGTGCGACTTGGTCTCTCATTGGCTCGCTAACTGCTGGTTCCATTTCGAAGCAAAATATGGTCCTGTTTGTAATCAACCTTTCTTTTCTTAAAGACATAGTTAGAGATAGACATTAATGTTGCCTAAGTCAAAACATCTTTAGCTGTTAGTGTTTTGGGCAGATGCCATCCCCCGTTAATGTTTTTACAAATAGCTGAACCATAGCTACAGCTGTTCGATGAGACACCAGGCTAATGTTTCTGGGATGTAGGCATGACTGGGCCCACGACTCACCATACTGTTGGATTAGAGGCAGCACAGGAGGCCAGTTAAATCAGCTCACTTATCAGTTACAACATAAAAAATGTCTTGGGCATTGTAGCTTTTTCCATGGCTCTCCCATGCTTCAGTCAGCCTCAATTTCTCCTGTGGTGCTCATTAGGGTGTGGCAGTGCCCACACCTAGGGAGTCCTGGTCTGGGCCTATCGTGAACTGTATGGATGTGCTCCAGTCACTTCCCTTTGCTGCAGCTCAGTTTTCCCATCAATGAAATGGGCGCAAGGGCTTATGTCTAGGAGATCAGGATATGGGATGCTGGGACAGGGGATGAGTGGAGTGCAATAGGAGACGGAGTTCTCCTGCTTGGCTAAGTTAAAGCTACCCCGACGATGTGTGGAGGAACTTAAGAGTATCTAGGGCCATCAGAAACCCTTGGGAAATGGTCAGAGTATGGTGGGCACCCAGCAGTTCACAGCAGGGAGACGGTAGCAACAAAGTCCAACAATGTTACCAAACAGAGGAGTATGGCTTTAGTGACAGCCCTTAAGGTGCTCCTCTCCTTAGTCACCCATGATACTGAACTGCAAACACAAAGATGCCACTTGACTACGATGTATTTGGTCTTGTGTCTATGTTTTCTTGGTAGTTGCCAATTTACTTAGTCATGGATCCCCTAACATCTGGAGATGGCAGAACCCATGACAAGACAAGAGTCTAACTTTGCTCATGAAAAGCTAGATTCACAGAACACTTCAGAGAGGAGGTGGCAGGCAGGCAGCGCTGGGGTGCCACCTGCTGTGATTGCTCCAATCCAACCCCACACCTCGAATTTTACACTCCTCGCCACTTTTAATGAATGGGCATGATCATGTGTCCCAGTGGGGACTGATTTTACGGGCATGTAGAAGGCCAAAATGGCTTTGAAATGGATGCAGGACCCTCAATGTCTGGAGGGGCCATTTTGGGGGAACATTTTTCTGAACTCATAATGAAAGTTATCAAGAAACTGTATTTCAAAACTTGACTTGTCATGGCCAGTTTTAGAATGCACTGAAGTCAATCTGTAGCTCTGTGCCTGCCTTGTCCCTCCCTCTATCCCGTGATCCCCTTCACATTGGTAGGGGCCCTGTCAACTGTTCATTTGAAAGACATGTGGCTGATATTCAACTCACTGGGACTCAATGTGTATCTGGACCAAAGCAGCTAGAGAACGAGGATTTTGGCACCTTGCACCAAAGCCTTGCCCACTGCTGTAACTTGCGCATGAAGCATAGTGCCCAGCACAAAGTGGGCACTCACATGTCGGCCGGGGGTCATGAGACTACCGTGTGTGGGCACACCCACCAGAGCTCCCATACTGCTCTCTACTGCATACACGCATATCCCATCTAAGGTGCAGGGGCTTCAGTGGGGCAAATGACTATTATTTTGTGATGATACAATCACGAATGCCCACTGCTGGCTTCTTATCCAGATTCCCCAGATATTCAGGGAAATGTGAGCAAATGAAAAGGCACATGGCATCTACAGGGGCAAGGAGACTGCCCACATCTGGCCTGGACCCCACCAAGGCCTTATTGACCTCTGCTGGCAGAGGGTCTGAGGGGTGTGTGCCTGGGGCAATGACAGCAGCGCATGACAGGCTAACTAGGCCAGCCAGGCTAAATAAGCCCACCCCTGTGGAGTTCTGCTTTTGTAAGCCTCTGCTCACCCTCTACGCCTGAGAAAATCACAAATCATGCCACTCCTCAGTGCAGCTGGCAATAAATGAATGAACCCAGAGTCGGCTTGCTGCCTGGGTTCAAATCCCAGCTACTATTCCTTACCAGCAGGTAGCCCTCGGGGGAGTTATTTAAAAGAACTGAGTCTGCCTTTCCTCATCTGTAAAGTAAATGGCCTCTAAGGTCATTATGAGGATTGTGTCAAATACCTGTCAACGCACCATTCAAGGCAGCTTATTTTATCATCATTGTAACACGGCTTCCTGTGCAGGAGTCTCCCTGCCCATGCCTCCTCTTGGGCTGCCTTTGGACTCTCTCCACCACTTTAGTCCTCCTCTATCTAATCTGCTGCCATGCGGTATAAGTTTGGGCAGGCAGGGGCTGTCCTGTCTGCCCTGGAAATGGCTCCCAGGTCCTGCCTAAAGGCTAACTCCTGGGGTTGCTGCAACAACTAGATGCTGGCTAACAAATCAACAACCAAGGACTTGTTTTGTAAAGTATGTGTACAGCGGCAGCATGGGGCAGGGGTGTAAAGAAAGAATAAGACAGATTGGGACTTGCAAGCAAACTTGGGTGGAAAGAATTATTTCCTCTTTGGCCTCATTCAATGAATAGCACGATGACTAACACCAAACACTTCATTCAGTTCTTCTTGAACCAAAGAGTAAGTTTAACTGCTCCTGTAGCCTTAAGTTTTGTATGAAAAGTAGGAAAAGAATGGGCCAATAGAGGTCCTTGGAGGCCTGGTGGGCCCTAAATCCAATGACAAGTGTTTTTACAAGAGACATACAGAGGGGAAAGGCAGGGAGAAGAGGAGGAGGCCATGTGAAGATGCAGGCAGAGGTTAGAGGGATGTGGCTACAAGCCAAGGAACACCTGGAGCCACCAGAAGCTGGAAAAAATGAAGAACGAGTCTCCCATTGATCCTTCGGAGGGAACATGACCTTGTCAACACCTTGATTTTGGACTTCTGGCCCCCAGAATTGTGAGAGACACATTTCTGTTGTTCTAAGTCACACAGTTTGTGGTCATCTGTTACAGCAGCCCCAGCAAACCATAGAAGTATCCTTTGCAGTCCCGAAATCCAAATAGCAGAGCTGCCAATTCCACAGGTCCCCTTGTACGACTAACAAAAGCAAGAAGCCTTAGAGCCTATTCCTCTCCTCATTTGCTAGAGGAGAATGTAGGAGGTGAAAGAAGAAACATGTCTCGCCCCAACGGAGCTGTACTGCTGAAACAATAATCACACAATTCTTTGCAAACCAGCCTCTTGTCAAAACAAAATCTCCTTTGTCTCAAATTACATACCAATTATTTTAAAGTTTGTAAATACTATGAGTCAGATAAGAATTTTGGTGACAGTTTAGCTGTCTCTATGGGTTGGAGTACCCAGAGCTAGCCTTACAAATGAGTCAGATCCCATAGGCAACCCCCGCCTGCTGCCTACTCACCTAAATTCACCATGTGATATACGCTCAGGTTACAATGTACATTGAGAATACCTCTGACTGAATAGACATTTCTCCAAAGAAGATCTACTTTAAAGATGGCCAAAAAGCACATGAAAAGATGTTCAACAGGCTGGGTGTGGTGGATCACGCATGTAATCCCAGCACTTTGGGAGGCTGAGGCAGGTGGAACACTTGAGGTCAGGAGTTCGAGACCAGCCTGGCCAACATGGTAAAACCCCAATACAGGAGCACCCAGATCCTTAAGCAAGTCCTTAGAGACCTACAAAGAGACTTAGACTCCACACAATAATAATGGGAGACTTTAACACCCCACTGTCAACATTAGACAGATCAATGAGACAGAAAGTTAACAAGGATATCCAGGAATTGAACTCAGCTCTGCACCAAGCAGACCTAATAGACATCTACAGAACTCTTCACCCCAAATCAACAGAATATACATTCCTCTCAGCACCACATCGCACTTATTCCAAAATTGACCACATAGTTGGAAGTAAAGCACTCCTCAGCAAATGTACAAGAACAGAAATCGCAACAAACTATCTCTCAGACCACAGTGCAATCAAATTAGAACTCAGGATTAAGAAACTCACTCAAAATCGCACAACTACATGGGAACTGAACAACCTGCTCCTGAATGACTACTGGGTAAATATTGAAATGAAGGCAGAAATAAAGATGTTCTTTGAAACCAATGAGAACAAAGATACAACATACCAGAATCTCTGGGACACATTTAAAACAGTGTGTAGAGGGAAATTTCTAGCACTAAATGCCCACAAGAGAAAGCAGGAAAGATATAAAATTGACACCCTAACATCACGATTAAAAGAACTAGAGAAGCAAAAGCAAACAAATTCAAAAGCTAGCAGAAGGTAAGAAATAACTAACATCAGAGCAGAACTGAAGGAGATAGAGACACAAAAAACCCTTCAAAAAAATCAATGAATCCAGGAGCTGTTTTTTTGAAAAGATCAACAAAATTGATAGACTGCTAGCAAGACTAATAAAGAAGAAAAGAGAGAAGAATCAAATAGATGCAATAAAAAATGATAAAGGGGATATCACCACCGATCTCACAGAAATACAAACTACCATCAGAGAATACTATAAACACCTCTATGCAAATAAACTAGAAAATCTAAAAGAAATGGATAAATTCCTAGACACATACATCCTCCCAAGACTAAACCAGGAAGAAGTTGAATCTCTGAATAGACCATTAACAGGCTCTGAAATTGAGGCAATAATTAATAGCCTACCAACCAAAAAAAGTCCAGGACCAGACGGATTCACAGCCGAATTCTACCAGAGGTACAAAGAGGAGCTGGTACCATTCCTTCTGAAACTATTCCAATAAATAGAAAAAGAGGGAATCCTCCCTAACTCATTTTATGAGGCCAACATCATCCTGATACCAAAGCCTGGCAGAGACACAACAAAAAAAGAGATTTTTAGACCAATATCCCTGATGAACACTAATGCGAAAATCCTCAATAAAGGCCGGGCGCAGTGGCTCACGCCTGTAATCCGAGCACTCTGGGAGGCCTAGACGGGTGGATCACGAGGTCAGGAGATGGAGACCATTCTGGCTAACATGGTGAAACTCCCTCTCTACTAAAAAATACAAACAATGAGCCGGGGTGGCGGGCGCCTGTAGTCCCAGCTACTCGGGTGGCTGAGGCAGGAGAATGGCGTGAACCTGGAAGGCGGAGGTTGCAGTGAGCCGAGATCATGCCACTGCACTCCAGCCTGGGCAACAGAGCGAGACTCTGTCTCAAAAAAAAAAAAAAAAAAAAAGAAAATCTCAATAAAATACTGGTAAACCCAATCCAGTAGCACATCAAAAAGCTTATCCACCATGATCAAGTCAGCTTCATCCCTGGGATGCAAGGCTGGTTCAACATACACAAATCAATAAATGTAATCCATCACATAAACAGAACCAACAACAAAAACCACATGATTATCTCAATAGATGCAGAAAAGGCCTTTGACAAAATTCAACAGCCCTTCATGCTAAAAACTCTCAATACACTAGGTACTGATGGAACGTATCTCAAAATAATAAGAACTATTTATGACAAACCCACAGCCAATATCATACTGAACGGGCAAAAACTGGAAGCATTCCCTTTGAGAACTGGCACAAGACAAGGATGCCCTCTCTCACCACTCCTATTCAACATAGTGTTGGAAGTTCTGGCCAGGGCAATCAGGCAAGAGAAAGAAATAAAGGGTATTCAATTAAGAAAAGAGGAAGTCAAATTGTCACTGTTTGCAGATGACATGATTGTATATTTAGAAAACCCCATCGTTTCAGCCCAAAATCTCCTTCAGCAACTTCAGCAAAGTCTCAGGATACAAAATCAATGAGCAAAAATCACAAGCATTCTTACACACCAATAACAGACAAACAGAGACCAAATTATGAGTGAACTCCCATTCACAACTGCTACAAAGGGAATAAAATACCTGGGAATCCAACTTACAAGGGATGTGAAGGACCTCTTCAAGGAGAACTACAAACCACTGCTCAATGAAATAAAAGAGGACACAAACAAATGGAAGAACATTCCATGCTCATGAATAGGAAGAATCAATATCGTGAAAATGGCCATACTGCTCAAGGTAATTTATAGATTCAATGCCATCGCCATCAAGCTGCCAATGACTTTCCTCACAGAATTGGAAAAAACTACTTTAAAGTTCATATGGAACAAAAAAAGAGCCCACATAGCCAAGACAATCCTATGCAAAAAGAACAAACCTGGAGGCATCATGCTACTTGACTTCAAACTATACTAAAAGGCTACAGTAACCAAAACAGCTTGGTACTGGTACCAAAACAGATATATAGACCAATGGAACAGAACAGAGGCCTCAGAAATAACACCACACATCTACAACCATCTGATATTTGACAAACCTGACAAAAACAAGAAATAGGGAAAGGATTCCCGGCAAGGATTCCCTATTTAATAAATAGTGCTGGGAAAACTGGCTAGCCATATGTAGAAAGCTGAAACTGGATCCCTTCCTTACACCTTAGACAAAAATTAATTCAAGATGGATTAAAGACTTAAATGTTAGACCTAAAATCATAAAAACCATAGAAGAAAACCTAGGCAATACCATTTAGGACATAGGCACGGGCAAAGACTTCATGACTAAAACACCAAAAGCAATGGCAACAAAAGCCAAAATAGACAAATGGGATGTAATTAAAGAGCTTCTGCACATCAAAACAAACTACCATCAGAGTGAACAGGCAACCTACAGGATGGGAGAAAATTTTTGCAATCTACCCATCTGACAAAGGGCTAATATCCAGAATCTACAAAGAGCTTAAATTTACAAGAAAAACACAAACAACCCCATCAAGAAGTGGGCAAAGGATATGAACAGACACGTCACAAAAGAAGACATTTATACAGCCAACAGACACATGAAACATGCTCATCATCACTGGTCATCAGAGAAATGCAAACCAAAACCACAATGAGATACCATCTCACACCAGTTAGAATGGTGATCATTAAAAAGTCAGGAAACAACAGATACTGGAGAGGATGTGGAGAAATAGGAATGCTTTTACACTGTTGGTGGCAGTGCAAATTAGTTCAACCATTGTGGAAGACAGTGTGGTGTTTCCTCAAGGATCCAGAACTAGAAATACCATTTGACCCAGTGATCCCATTATGGGTATATATACCAAATGATTATAAATAATGCTACTATAAAGACACATGCACACGTATGTTTATTGTGGCACTACTCACAACAGCAATGACTTGGAACCAACCCAAATGTCTATCAATGATAGACTGGATTAAGAAAATGTGGCACATATACACCATGGAATACTATGCAGCCATAAAAAAGGATGAGTTCATGTCCTTTGCTGGGATATGGATGAAGCTGGAAACCATCATTCTCAGCAAACTATCACAAGGACAGAAAACCAAACACCGCATGTTCTCACTCATAGGTAGGAACTGAACAATAAGACTACTTGGACACAGGGCAGGGAACATCACACATGGGGCCTGTCAGAGGGTAGGGGGTTGGGGGAAGGATAGCATTAGGAGAAATACCTAATGTAAATGACGAGTTGATGGGTGCAGCAATCCAACATGGCACATGTATACATATGTAACAAATCTGCACGTTGTGCACGTGTACCCTAGAACTTAAAGTATAATAATTTAAAAAAAAAAAATGTCACCTTGCAGCCACTGGCCTCATTAATCCTAATCGGAGTATTTTCTTTCCCATATCACATCTTAAAAGGGAGGCCTTACTTTTGCTCCTACAGGACTACTGCTTTGCTGTATCTTCTCTAAGAAACACATCCATAATGAAGGTGTGTGCCACCTCAGGTGAAGCGAGAAGAGAGAAGCAAGTTAGCCCAACCTCCTCCTTCCTGCTGGGGAACATTCCAACCACTGATTCCTGGAGGCAAAAGGAGAGAACAAGACAACATTCTGTTTCAAACTAGAGACAGAGATGAGTGTCCCCTCCTTCTAAAAAGAAGTGTGACATCTTCATAAAGGGGAAAGGCTGTCAGAGCCCCTCACTTGTACAAGGTCCAGTGCAGGAAGCTCGAATGTGGCCACTGAGAGCTCATCACTTCAGTCCACGGACAGACAATGCCAGGCAAAGTGCCCTTCTCCCAAACACCTCAGTAGAGTCTGGCTATCCAAGGAATGCCAAGTAATGTTTCTTAGAACTTTCTTTGGAATCCTGAAATGGTGGCCTGAGCCTTGGATTATAAAAGAGGATTCCCCTATTTCTCATCACCTCATGCCTCATGCTTGGCTTCCTCTGCAGGACTGGGCCAGAAGATCAGATGGAAAGAGAAGGATTCACCTGAGGCAGCACACACCTTCGTTATGGATATATTTCTTAGAGAAAATACAGCAAAGCAGGAGTTCTGTAGGAACAAAAATAAAGCCTCCCTTTCAGAATTCAAAGATGTGATATGGGAAAGAAAATACCCAGATTAGGATTAGTGAGGCCAAGAGCTCAGAGGTCATTTCTCTTCACAGGTGTCAGTTTAGCCTTGATTATGCTGGGGCAACCCAGCTCGACCTTGTCCTTCCATGGACCTGCGGTGTCCATGTTTCCACCAGTTGTTAGTTTCTCTATTTACTTTTAGGACAAAAAAAGTCCCCAGCTTTTATTTTGTGGTAGACCTCTCAGAAACCCATCAGCATGCCTGTGAGCTTAGCTTATGCTGCTCCTCTGCATGGAATACCTTCTCTCTCCTCTCCACGGTGACTGCCTCCTCTTCCTTCAAGGCCTAGTTGAACTGCACCCTCTGTGAAACCTCCTCCCCCTCTCCAGGAAAGGTGAGTCACTTCCACAGCACCTGTTTCTGCTCTCATCCTCACACTCAGCACCCTGTAGGACCCCACGAGCCCCTGGAGGCCCAGCAGGCAGTCTGGAATGGAAGATGGGTTTGAGTGATTTATCATGCTGCCACTGGCCCTGAGGCCTTATCTGTAAAACAGCATTCTTCTCGCCTACCTCAGAGCCACTGTGAGGCTCAAACAAACCCCCAGGGTTAAAGTGGGAGCGGTAACTTGTAAAAGAACCCCCAGGTGTCACCTCATTCATTGATTTCCTCATTCACAAGGCACCAAATGCCAGTCACTACCAGGCAGAAGCTGACAAAGACACAGTGCTGACCTTCAAGGAGCCCACCATCTAGGGTGGGAGACAGGAGCAAGCAAAAAGTCACAGAAATGCGTTTCCACTCTGATGAGGGCAAGCCCAGAGCACCAATGCAGGCTGCTGGCTCAGGGAAGCCTGCCCCAACTAGGAGATCCCTAAGCTGACTTCAAAAGGCCCCCGAAGAGTGAGTAAAACAGAGGGCATGGTGTCCTGAAAGACATTCCATGGCCAGGGGTAGGAAGGACAAAGCAATGGCACAGAGCCACAGAGCCAGCATGTTTTTATAACTGTGACAAGTTGTGTCACAGCAAGTGTGAAGCAAGATCGGGAGCAAAGTTGAGAACATGTGGGGCCTGTGTGCCAAGCTAGGGAGTTACAAGGGGGGAAAGATGGTGGAGCCCCCAGAAGTTGGAAGCAGGAGTGAGTGTTGCGATTGGAAAGATCACCTTGGCTGCAGTGTGGGGAAGAGATTTTGGACAAGTCTAAGGCTCCAGGCACGGCGGGTAGGGGGAATGACAAGAGCAAATCAGAGACGAGAACTACATTTGACCCTTGAACAATGTGGGAGTTGGGGCACTGAGCCCCAAAGTAAAAAATCCACATATAACTTTTGACTCACCTAAAACTTTACCAATATAACTTGCTGTTGGCTGGAAGCCTCACCAATAATGTAAACAGCTGATTAACAAGTATTTTCTGCGTTACATCCATTACATATTGTGTTCCAGCAATAAATTAAGCTAGAGAAAAGAAAATGTTACTATGAAATTGTAAGGAAGAGAAAATATATTTACTATTCATTGAGTGAAAGCGGGTCATCATGGTCTCCGTCCTCATGGTCTTCACACTGAGTAGGCTGAGAAGGAAGATGAGGAGGAGTTGATCTAGCAGCTCAGGGGTAGCAGAGATGAGAAAAAACCTGCCTGTAAGTGAACTCACAAGGTTCAAACCCATGTTGTTCAGGGGTCAACTGTAATACTGCCTGAAGACCTGCTCAACATCAGGCCACTTTACATATAAGTACCTCATCCCATTGAGATGCAAAAGTATCCCATCAGGTAGACAGTACTGGCCTCACTCGACAAATAAGAAACAGGCTCAGAGAGGTTAAGCGACTTGCCCAAGGTCACACAGCCTGCACAGAACTTGTGTTTGTCCCTTGTACTCTGTCAGGCTTCCGATCTGCAGGCTGATGGACAGGGAAGCAAAATGTGGAGGGACATTAAGTTAGAAGGGTTAGCAGGGGCAAAACTGGGCAGAGGGATCACAGGCCAGGCTAAGGAGCCCTTTACAGTCCAGGCTCTGAAGGTTTAAGAGCAGGGAGATGCCGTGACCAGAGCTGTTCACTATGAAGATTAACCTGGCAGAGTAGGGAGGACTAGCTAGGTGAGAGGTGGGAAACAGGGGAACTACTCATCAGTTGTCTGACCAAGATTTACTGAGCACCTAATATGTGCCCCTCTCTGTTCCAGGTCCTGGAGTACCAGTAGTGAATACAACCAAGATGCCCGCCCTCAGATAGCCTGCCTTCTAGCGGAGGGACAACAAAGAGCAAAATAAACAAGCAAAATATACAGTAGGTCAGAAGGTGATAAGGACTATTGGAAAAAAAAGCAGAAAAAAAAGCAGAGCAAGGTGAGTGGCCTGTTTGTATTGGGGGCTGCAGTACTTAAATAGGGTGCTTAAGAGGAGGCAGACAGAGAGGACAACTGGGACAAAGATGAGAGGCAGTAGTGTGGCTGGCACATGAGGTTCAACCACAAAGCCAGTGTTCTGGGGCTGAGAGAAGAGTTGTGGAGTGATGGGAGGGGACACGTCGTGCCAAGCTTTGGAGACCATGATGAGAACTCTGGCTCGTACTACTTGGGGGGATGATGATGACCCAAAAATTAGGAGTCTGTTCACTGCTGAAGAGGGCAAAGGGCAGAAGCTCCATTTAAAAGGTTCTAATAAGCCTCAGGCCTTTCTCTGCCTGAAAAACTTACTTTCTGCCCTCTACTTCCCTAGATTACTGCCCCAGTGCCTGGAGGAAAATCAGGTGAAGGCTAAAAGCCACGTAGACAGCTAAAGAGGGCAAACTGGACCTCCAGCTCCACTTCTGCAGGTCTGTCTCAGTCCACACAGCCCTTGCACACGCTCCCTTTTAATTCTCCAAGCATACCTCTCACTTCCAAAACTCCTGTGACTCTGCTGATGAGGGCGTCTCGGCCTGGAATGCTCCTCCTTATCTGCACTGTGTGGGTGTCAAAAAGAGTATATTTTGATGACCTCTCCCCGCCCCTCTTGCTTGCTCACATCCCCTTCACTCCTTTCAAAGTCCGTTCCCAAAGCCCCCAGTTCACCGTCCTGGGCTGTTTTTAGCCAGGTAAGACCTGAAGTGATCCTCTCTTGGAACCTGGTCTGGGGCCTACACATCTGGGTCAGTCTGGGGGTGCTCTCGAAGGGCCACCCTCAAAGAGCGAGCCTCGGCTGGATTCAGTTCCTAGGTCCCAGCCGTCCGACCTCTGCCACAACGCTCAGCAGACCCCTTCCCCTCTCCGGGTCTCAGTTGCCCCGTGAGTACAGTCCCTGCTCCAACACGCAAGGTCAATCGTCTCTGGCTGCTCTGATGCACTCGGTCCCTAACTCAGCCTTAGGTCAGCACAGAAAGCACCCGACCCGGGCGGCCCCGCAGCTCCTCACCCTCCCGCCCCGCCCAGTCGCTGACACAGGGTGGCCTCCAAGGGCAAGGCCACGATTCTTACCCGTCCGCAGGTGCCCCACTGGCTGGCCTCAGCTCGCAAGCAGGCTGCACCCACCGAACTCCAGCCCCGGAACGCCACCCTTTACTCCCCTCCCGCGTGAGCCGAGAATCAGCCGAGCTTCTTCTACCAAGAGGATTGGCCCAGCTCGGCGTCGGCTCAGCCAATTGGCGCTCACGGCTTGATCTTGCCCAATAAAGACAGGTCTCTGTCCCCAGCGTGCCCCTCCCCGCGCTGGGCCTGGGCTTTGCCAGGTTAGTCCCACCCTCTTCGGCCCTGCACCAGTAGGGAGCGGCGGCGGCGAGCGGACGCCCAATGGGGAGCGGGGCTGTGCGCGCGGGGCGGTGGGAGCGGCGCCGAATCAGTGTACACGTCGGTTGCCTAACAACCGGCCGTGGACTCCTTTGGCTATGGTGAGTGCTGCCGCTCTGTCGCGCCCCACGCCCAGAGGCTGAGCCCTTCCCAGGCCCCAGCTCGGCCACGCCGCCTCTCCTGCGCCTTTCTCGGCTTTGACGCACCAGTCCTTCCTTTGAGCTCTTTCCCGGAAGAGTAGGGTACAGACGCTAACCAACCTACTGGGCCTGCGCTTTGCTGCTGCCTCCCCTTCACCCACAACAGGCCCACACCCGCCCCTCGGGCTCCCCTGGCCTTCCCTGATCACCTCGGTGAACCTCCCTGGGCAAAAAAGACTCGAATCCCTCACAGGCCCCTGACTTTCTCAGACCTTGGCCCCCTGGCCGCCTCATTCTGCCAAAATTTCCACACAGAGCTGGGAGAAGGTGTATTGTGTTCTATTAAAGTGTTTTTTACAATTTAAATATAGGGGCATTCAGGGGATGCTGTAGCTTCTTGGAGAAGGCACGAAGGTGTCAGATGGATTGAGTTTTATTACTCGATACTGACACAATATACATCTTAACAACTTGCTAATATTTGGCCAAATCTAGAAGTAATTGGGAAGTCAGAGTGCTTACTGGGAAGCGGAGTACTGGGAGTGGGCATTGTAAGGCAGTTTCCAGAACCAGGATCCCCACATTCGGGAAGAGCTGATTATCTCTACTTACTCGCAGTCATTTTCTTGACTAGCTCTCTTTTGGGATGATTTTCAGTAAGAGGTATCCTTACTGAACAAGTGATCTCCCTGCTTCTAGAAACGACAGTAAAGAAAAGGGAGGGATAGAAGTTCATGGAAAGATTCATTGTTCTTGCCAGTAAACCCTGTTATCTTTCTTGTTAAGCAAAGCTTTGGAATTGGTTGCTATAAAATTATTTAAAACTACATATGGGTGTCTGTAACTATGTTATGTAAATATGGACTGTACGATATATTATTGTGCTTGTGTATTGCATAACGTATGAAGGCCTCCAACTTTAAGAAGACAAACATGGCATCAAGTTCCCAGAGAAAAAGAATGAGTCCTAAGCCTGAGCTTACTGAAGAGCAGAAGCAGGAGATCCGGGAAGCTTTTGATCTTTTCGATGCGGATGGAACTGGCACCATAGATGTTAAAGAACTTAAGGCAAGCTCTATGCATTCCTGCCGTACTGCCCTTCCTTTCCTCTGCCTCTTCCTTGTCATCTCCCTATCACCTCTCTACCCCTTTTGCCCTCTTCTCCCTGCAATAAGTAACAGGGGAGGTTGTACTGTGCTCTGTTTTCCTGTCTTTACTTAGAGTATTATTAAATAAAATTGATTGCAAATGTCAATTAGATCAATGTTATAGTGTTCCCCAATCATATTAACATGACCACATCAGATGCTGGCTTAATGCTCTCAACACTGTTGTTTTTGCTGCTGCTAGTTCAGATGTGCTTATTGAGACAATCCTGTTTTCATTATAGGTGGCAATGAGGGCCCTGGGCTTTGAACCTAAGAAAGAAGAAATTAAGAAAATGATAAGTGAAATTGACAAAGAAGGGACAGGAAAAATGAACTTTGGTGACTTTTTAACTGTGATGACCCAGAAAATGGTGAGTAGCTAAGACAATTTGCATGGTATGGCGCCCCAGTCATCTGCAGAGGCCCATGGCATCTGCCTGTTAAAACAGTCATGTGACCACAGAGCAGTCCAGGTAGCAGCTGCATCAGGAGGCCTGCCCTCCCATCATGTTACCTTGGGCTCCCAAAACAAGCCCTTGTACTTCTTTCTCAAGACTTCCAAGCAGATACCTCTTCCCACAGAATTCTAAACCAGTTAGGAAATAGATATGGGATAGGGAGAGATATAGGGATAGGGAGCAAACGTCACCTTGGATGGAGTGCCTGGCTTGACTGGTGTTTCTCTGAGGCCAAAATGGGCTTCCTGACACTTGCTGCAAGTCTAGACTCGAGTTACATTGTTAAAAAGGAAAGGGTGACCTGACCGGGCAGTGGCAGGGCTACAGGACATGAGTAACCATGGTGTCCCCCTACTCATGTGTTTTATGTTCTATTTGGTAAGTCTGAGAAAGATACCAAAGAAGAAATCCTGAAAGCTTTCAAGCTCTTTGATGATGATGAAACTGGGAAGATTTCGTTCAAAAATCTGAAACGCGTGGCCAAGGAGTTGGGTGAGAACCTGACTGATGAGGAGCTGCAGGTTTGTAATGCATCACACTGGAACTTAAGATTCCCACCTTTGGGCCCTCTGTGACTTTTCTGTTACATTTTCCCTAGTGTGAGCACTTCTTTGAAGGAAAGCCAGTGTACTTTGTCCCTCTGTGGACAACTGAATTCTCCTTTAATAGTCAGACAAACCTATGAACGCTGCTTCCAGAAAAATGCACATAGGCACAGTTTTGCCTACTATTTTACATTCCAGGAATCCCTCTAGTCAAGGTAATCTTCAAGCTCCCTCCCAGGTGATAATGTTTGACAAAGTATGAGTTGGTTTTCAAATAAGTTTTCAGGAACCAAGCTATTATCAGGAGTGGCATACTGGCATTGGGTGGACTACAATTATCTATTCACATAGTGTTATTAAAAGTCTATTGCTTGCCAGGCACAGTGGCTCATGCATGTAATCCCAGTACTTTAGGAGGCTGAGGCAGGAGGATCGCTTGGGGCCAATAATTTGAGAGTAGTGTGGGCAGCATAGAGACCCCGTCTCTAAAAAAAGTCATATTACTTAGTCACCTTTTGGCATTAGTTTATAAATTAATCTAACCTGAATCTTTACTGTCATATAGGAAATGATTGATGAAGCTGATCGAGATGGAGATGGAGAGGTCAGTGAGCAAGAGTTCCTGCGCATCATGAAAAAGACCAGCCTCTATTAAGATCAGTGTCTTCTTTTTCTACTGCAAGCACATGTAACTAGATTTAGTGCCTGCCATTGTGTGAAATCTGGCTTTTGAGAATACAAACTTTTCCCCCACTGACCTCCCTTTATCACTTTAATAGTGACCTTGAGTCTATTTTAGCTGTTTGGAAGTGTTCTTTGATATTACAGTTCTTTGTAAAATGACCTGCGAATTACCCTAATTCTCAAAAGCAAAACAAGAGCACATTAGCATGAAGAAAAAGATCTTAAAGCTTTGAGCACCTGCCATTTTGCCTTGCATTGTTTCCCTCTTATCATGCATTTCCACATATCCACAAACACAGGACGACTTTAGACAAGCACATGTTACACTTGTGTCACCACAAGCAGTCATTCTTGAGTGGCTCCAGTTTTTATTTGACACTTGAGTTTAGTTTTCTCTTTAATAAAACCCAGTGAAGTCTTGCACTGGCATTTGGATGTGTGTTAATGCTATTTGTTTTGTCTTAAAAATAAAACCTTTCTCAGTTTGAACTTGTGTTCTCTAAGGATGAGTTCTTTAGCTTTGCTTATGAGTTCCTCTTCTCAACTATTGTGTTGAAGGCAGCCTGTTAGATACAAAACTCCTTACCAGCCTATGGACAGAAATGAATAATCCTTTGCTACTTTCCTGGCGTGAATTGTTTTTTGCCTTGGGAACCTGCTGGTTTGTAAAACTAGCAGAAATTTTATATTAGCTAAGCCTAAATGATGCTCTAAAAATAGTTTTGGCAAAGTGTAAGACTGGAAAAGAGTCTTGTTAGTAATTTGTGCTTGAATAAAATGGGGAGAGCCAGGCTAATCCAACACTAGGATGGATTCAGCCAACCTCTCATGAATTTATTTGCTTATGGTGTCTCATCGACTCTTGGAGGTGGGTTGGGCTGAGGGACCCTGTCCAGCCATCTTCCTGGCCTTGCACGGGATTACCTGTGAGAGAAATCCTGGTAGATGACATGAAAGTCTCTGCTCCAGGTTGAGAGTGGGGAGACAGAAGGGGTAAGGGAGAATAGAAAACGAACAATGATGGAATGCTCATTTGTTCACGTGGAGACAGAGAAAACAGATTTTCAAACTTCTGGGGGTAGGCTAGTCCCCTGGGGATAGGGTTGCACTGATTTAGCTAATAAAAAGAAAGCCTAGGTAAATTTGTATTTCAGATCAACAATGCATTTTTTTTTTTGTATGAATATATCCCATTTGGATTTTTTGTTTATTCATTGTTGATCTTAAATGCAAATTTACCTGAGCATCCTGTATTGCCACTGGTAACCCTACCTGGGGAGCACGTTACAGAGGCCAGAAGCCTGGCCCTGGGTCTCATGCCTGGACCCTGACATCCTGTAGGACTTGGGGGCCCAGGAATATGAACTTTACCATATCCCGCAGAGGAGTCTCATGCAGAGGGACTGCTCCTTAAGAAACACTTGGGGGAAGAGCCCAGACTAGCCCCATCACTGGGTTCTCACACACATACTCACCCACTTCCGCGCCGGGCAATTTGGGCCAAGCTACTTCTCTAGGTGCCTGGAGTTTCATGTCTGTGTGATGGGGAGAAGAGTTGTGCCTACTCAGAATCACTGGAGGTGAAATACAAACTTACAGAAAGGACCTGGCTTGAAGGTGTTCAAGAACAAGAGGATTCAGAAGTGTTCAGTCTCACTCCCATTCCTTTGCTATAGTTATCACATAAGCTTTGTTGTTAAATGTGGGTCCATGAAGCTTTTATCATTACTGTCCCCAAAGTCTGTTGATAGCATTTCCTAAGAGGATTTGACCTTTGTCGTATTGTGATTTTCTAATAAGAGGCATATGATTGGATAAAAGACATAAT